TCGAGCTGGGTTTCAAGTGGTGGCAGAAGCCAGAGGGAGCTGAATCCGGATTTTTGTCCACCTTGGTGAAGCAGCACTGGGCTCACACAGACATTGAGAGTTCCCATCAGTGCCTGAGCTGCCAGAGCTGCCACAGCAGAGCCAGAAACCAAATCACAACCAGACATTTAAAAATAGCCAGAAATTAAATCATAGCCAGAAATGAAATCACAATCAGAAACCAAATCACAACCAGAAATGAAATTATAACCATAAATGAAATCAGAATCAGAATCCAAATCACAACCAGAAAACAAATCACAACCAGGAATTAAATAATAGCCAGAAATTAAATCATAGCCAGAAATGAAATCACAATCAGAAACCAAATCATAACCAGAAACTAAACTAAATCACAACCAGAAATGAAATCAGAATCAGAATCCAAATCACAACCAGAAATTAAATCATAACCTGAAATGAAATGACAATCAGAAACAAAATCACAGCCAGAAATGAAATCATAGCCAGAAATGAAATCACAATCAGAAACCAAATCACAACCAGAAACCAAAATCATAACCAGAAACGGAATCACAGCCAGAAACCAAATCACAACCAGAAATTAAATTATAACCAGAAACCAAATCATAACCAGAAACTAAACGAAATCACAACCAGAACTGAAATCATAATCAGAAACCAAATCCTAACCCTGCCACCTCATCCCTCACCCAATTATCACCAACACGCTAACAAGGGGCACAGGGGGAACAAAGCAGGTGACAGCTGGAGCAAACAGAAAAGACTGAAGGCAGCAGAAATACCGGATTTTTCAGATCATCCCTGAAAGAGCCAATTCTCTTCTCTTTGCTTGCAGAGCCCTGCTCTAGGAAGRAGCTGGCCCAAGGGACAGGGAAAGTAGGACATGAGGACTATTGTGGATGAAAAAGCTGCTCTTTTTCAAAGGCTGCCGGGTGCCCTCAGCTGTCCCTGGCACACAGGTGCCCRCAAAGGCCATCTCTTGGTTCCACAGGGCACACAAAGAACAGACCCCATCCATCCCTGCAGCACCTGGAGCGTGCCACGAGCACCCTGTGAGAGAGCCCAGCTCTGCCTGCACCCAGRGTGGGGGTTATGGATCCCCAAAACTGGGGATGGATCCCCAAATTTGATAAGAGATGGCAGTGGGTGACATCCACGTGGAGTGTGAGGCACTGAACCTGTGATCCTGCCCTGCCCCACCTCTCCTCTCCAATAAATCCCTCTCAACCAGATGCAAAAATGGCTTTTATCTGTCAGAAATCCTTCCTGCTCTTTCCCTCACCAAAGAACCTCATTTAGTCTCCACCTGGATTCACCTCTTCATGGAAAAAAACAAAAACCAGCAAAATGAAATATCCGCCATGCAGAGATCTCCTCTCCAGGTGGAGACAAGGATTGGACTGAGCAGAAAATGGTCAGTGGAAATCCGGGTAAAAAGGAAAATAATAAAAAGAATATAAGAATATAAAGAAGAAAAAGAATATAAAGAAGAAAAAGAAGAAAAAGAAGAAAAAGAAGAAAAAGGGGAAAAATAAAAATATAAAGAATATAAAGAATATAAAGAACATAAAGAATATAAAGAACATAAAGAATATAAAGAATGTAAAGAATATAGCGAATATAAAGAAAATCTTTGCAACTGAGCCATCTCTAGGTGAATCGAGGTTCCACCTGCCTGGGACACTTTCTAGTGACATTTTTTAAGGGCATCCCCCATACTGGGATTCCCTACTAAGTGCCCTACTAAGCAGCTTTTCCTCCTGGTCTTCAAAAAGGAATTTTTAAAAAAAGAGGGAAAAATAGAAGAGGGGATCAGGAAACACTGGAAGCACTCACTTGTCCATGTCCTGAGCCATTCCCAAAGCATGAACGAGCCCAGGTTTCCTGCTGTCCCCTCAAAGACGAGATTTTTTCCCCTCAAAGATGTGATTTTCCACYCCCCACCTCTCCCTGCCCCCAATCCTGGCGATGAGCAGCCGAGCTCTGCACAGGGACCCGGCTCCCCCAGCCCCAGGGAGATAAAACAGCCAAACACTGTCCAGAGCAGCGTGGGCAGAGTGGATCCCCCCGGGATGGGCACATCCAGTGAGCCCTGGAGGCACCACCGCTCCTTTCTAGCAGTTAAACAGGAATGAAACGGGCCGAGTTTTCTGAAAAAATCCTCATGGAAAGGCTTTTTGAGGCATCAAAGAGCAGCAGAGGAGCACCACCCTGCAGGGACACAACTCTGCTGTCACCTCACGCACCGCTGGTGGCCCCTGGGAYGGTCTGGTAGCCCATCGGGGCATCGAGCAGGGCAAACAGCTCTGAGAGCTCATCCCAACCCTACAGCCCCCAAGAGSAGAGCCCTGGGCAGGCTGTCCCTCYCTGGTTCCATTTTTAGGGCCGGGGCTGACACAGCAATGTAAACACCATCCCTGACACCATCCCTGACACCGGGGCATGGGGGATTCTCCACAAACCGAGCTGTCATCTTTATCTGGGGCTCCTCCAGCACACAAAAGGAGCATTCAGTGCCACCCGGGGACAGAAACAAAGCAGATGCTGCGGGGAAGTTTGTAAAGTGCCCGGCACAGAAGGTTGGCAGAGCTCCTCTCCGAAATCGGGGCCCATCTTTCTGGCAGCACTGTCGGGAACAAGGGCAGGCTGGAGGACAAAGCTTGGCAGGGAACGGGGATGCAGAGCTAAACCAGAGCTCAGAGSCCACCAGAGCCTTTGAACGCTTCCAACAAGTTTGGCTGGTGAGGTCTGCTTGGCTTTTCTTTCCCCCTCACCCCTCTGAATATTTTGGCAAATTTAGGAGAGGAATGGGAGAGAAGAACCTCCCGCCTGAGCTGCTGGGAGGTTGTGTGAAACACCCAAGAGGTCAAAGTGCAGGGAATGTGCMTTAGAGGTGAGGTTTCAGAGGCTGCAGCGTGGCACTGAGCAATCCTGAAGCTCTCCTACAAGAGGATGCAATAAATCAGGTCTGAGACGAGAGACCAGTCCAAGCAAGGTCAGTTTTCTATCTGGAAAGCAAATGGGGAGATTCAAATGCTTCAGGGAAAAAAAAAAAAAAAAAAAAAAAAAAAAAAATCCCAAACCATCCCAGCTCGAAATGAACTTCCTATTTCTTTAAAGACCAAGCCAAAGTGCTTTTTTGCTCCTCGCTGGTATTTCAGGAATGAGCCCGGCCAAAGTCACCTGGTCTGGTTTTACAGACTGAGCAGCCTTTGGAAAGGAATCAGATCGGATTTGGCCACAAACAGCCCCAGAGGCTGCCCTGGGAGGCTGTACCAGCTGTCTGCTCAGCCTCAAACCTCTCATCATGTGCTCGCAGGGAAGGGGAAGGGAAGGGGACCTGTTAGGGGCAGCTCAGCTCCGTGCTCGGGAAACGGGAAACGCCGGCACCGGGGGAACAGCAAACAAGGCACGGGGATTGTGAACAGCAGCACAGCAAAGATGAATGCTGGAACTCAGAGGAACAGCAGGAGGAGAATTGGCATGGCCTGGTGGACACAGCACCTGCTGGACTGAACGGGGAGGGTTGTGGTGGGTCCTGGCACAAACCAGTGCTGTGCTCGGCACCAGGAGGGCACAGCTCCCCAAACCCCATCAAACACTGCCCTGGGCATGGGGCAGAGCACATGGACCCAGCACTGCCTCAGGGTGAAACAAATCCTGGAGAGAAATGTGTAAAAAACCAGCACAGTGCCCTCCTTCAGCTCTGTAAACCCCCAGCCCTGCTCAGACAATCCAGCTGGATTCAGGGGTGGACAGACTGCAGTGCAGGATTTCTGACAGCCTGGGGCTCTCAGGGCTGTCCTTCATTGAATGTCAGCGTGATTTGGGGTGGAAGGAACCTTAAAGCCCATCCAGTGCACCTCTGCCATGGCAGGGACACCTCCCACWGTCCCAGGGTGCTCCAAACCCCGTCCARCCTGGCCTTGGACAYTSCCAGGGATGGAGCAGCCACAGCTTCCCTGGGCAACCTCACCTCTAACTAAAAAACCCCTAAATCTCTCGTGCTTTCACCTAAAACTGCACAACATCAAATTCTAAGTTCAGCAGCACCCTCAGTTCACCCCACCTCACCCACCCTGAGAGCTCTGGGTGCTGAATTTGGAGTCAAACACCCCAAGGCAGTTGAGCTGAGCTCAGCCAGGCTGGTGCTGACTCCACCCGGAGCCTCCTGTCGCTGCCACCAAACAGGAAAACGCCAAACCAATCCCACTTTTCACTAACTGGGATGAGGAAAACGCTCACCCCAATCCCACCTCTCACTAATGTGTTTTGGCAGCTCATCATCGTCTCGAAATCCACCTCTGAGTGCTGGGAGGTTTCTAATTAGGCTCAGTCAGATTGCGGGGTTKGGTCGGGGCTAACCCGGCGCCCGCTGCTGCAGCAGCTCCAAACACTGAGATCAGTTTTTCCACTCAGAAAAGAAGATAAGGCCCACGGTTTCCTCCCCTCAGATAAGCWCGAGGAGAAAAGAGCATGAAGTCACATCCCTGCCACCCCAAATCCGGCTGGTTCTGCGTCCCATGGCCACGGCAGCTCCCAAAGCTCTGCTGGCATCCAGAGCCAGAAATCAGAGCACACGGTGCTCCAAGGGGTGGAGAATTAAAGAATCYGGGGATTTCTGAAAGGTTTTGGGGAGCTTCTGTTCATTGCCACTGTTGTTTGTATTTTCAGAGGCGTGCAAACAACAAGCTGGAGCTCACAGACCTTTCCAACCAACTACAAAACGCAAAAAGAAAATCAGAAAATTCAAAACTGCCTGATTAAAAAGCACTTTCTGAAACTTCATCAGCCATTTGCTTCCTGCACTAAGAGAATTGATCTAATACAATTTATTGAACTATTTCAGGGGTAATTCCTGATATAAGGGTATTTACACAGCGCTGTTTTGAACACCCTCAAAAGCATCAGCAAATCTGAGTTCTCAGGGCTGCTCCTCAGAGCTCTGGCAGTGAATCCAGGGAGAAGGCACTGACCTGGGGTGGAGGTGACACTCAGAACTTGTGTTCCCTTGGACCTTGGTAATCCCTCCTTGGCCATGGCGTTCCCTCCTCACCCCGCTGCCAAAAGCAGATCTGAAATGAAAATAATTAATATCAATCAGCCATGGCTTGTTTTGTTGGTTGTTTTAATTTTTTTTCCCCTGCTAAGCATCCAAAAAAACATAAATTAAATAAACAAAGCTTTTGGCCTGAACCAAGTCCTGGCTCTGAACAAATCTGGGTAAAACAAAGCTCCTGACCTGAACCAAATCCTGACTCTGAACAAATTCATGGTTGGGATCTGTCCTGTGGGATCCAGGGAATTCAATCACCTCTGGTGTGTTCATTGTTGTGGTGTTTGGGCCCTAAACCCGCAGTGTTCCCATGGATGTGCCCTGAGGCTCAGGMACATCTCACTCACCTTCAGGACCTGCCTAAAGGGGAAGCTGAAGGTGAGGGGGGTCCCCAGAGGCTCCTCTGGAGGCTCCATCTCTCAGCATCAGCCCCAGAGCCTCAGGGCAAGTCAAACAACTGCTCTGAGCCAGCCAGAGCCTCAAATCCCACTTTTCCTTGATTTCCATCTAGCCATCAGAGCCAGCTTTTCCCCAATTTCCATCCATTCAGAGTCTCAGATCCAGCTTTCCCTGGTCCTCCATCGGTTCAGAGCTTTAAACCCAGCTTTTCCCCAATTTCCATTCACCCAGACCCTCAGATCCCACTTTTACCCAATTTCCATCCATGCAGAGCCTCAGATCCTGTTTTTCCCCAATTTCCATCTATTCAGAGCCTCAAATCCCATTTTTCCCCAATTTCCATCCCCCAAGAGCCTCAAACCCAGCTTTTCCCTCTGCTCCATCCATTCAGAGTCTCAGGCCAAGCTCTTCCCCAATTTCCATCCATTCAGAGCGTTAGACCCAGCTTTTCCCCAATTTCCATCTCCCCAGAGCCTCAGATCCCATTTTTTCCCCCAATTTCCACCCATTTAGGGCCTCAGATCCCATTTCCCCCAATTTCCATCCATTCAGAGTCTCAGGCCAAGCTCTTCCCCAATTTCCATCCATTCAGAGCATTAGACCCAGCTTTTCTCCAATTTCCCTCTCCCCAAAGCCTCAGATTCCCTTCTCCCTGTGCTGATCCTGGCTGCTCCTCAGCTCCCACCCCCAAAGCAGCCCCTGGCAGGTCTGAGCCCAGCCCAACCTCCCCAAACAGCCCCAGGAGCGGGGGCACAGGGAGCTGCCACCCTACAAAATTGATTTTTGCTCCCCAGCCCTCAGGAGACACCAGGGGCTCGCAGCCAAGCCACCCCACTGAAATCCAGAATGGTGGGAGCGGAGCTGCAGAGCTCTGCCTCGKCTGTGCAGCGCTAATTTTGCTGAAAAGGCATTAATTAATCACCGCTGGACGAGGCCGCAGCGATTGCCTGGCAGCTCTGGAGCACAGGAGCCGTCACTATGGAGATGCAGATCCAGGGCTGGGTCCCGATTGTTATCCC